AAGTGACTGGCCCAAGGTCACCAAGCTGGCTTTGTGCCCAGGTGGGAGTAGAACTCACAATCTTCCGCTTTCTAGCCTGATGCCTTAACCACTACACCAAACTGGCTCTTCTTCCTGGGGCTTTTGCTGCCCTCTTTTCCAATCTGTTCATTTCACAGTAGAAGATGCCATATGAGATGCAGGATGAGAAATCCAGACCCACCCCATTCATGCTGCCCCACTAGCTGGTGACACGCTGAAAGGATCCAGCAGTAAAATCAGAGAAGAAAACCAATTTCGGCACTTATACAGATCAGAAAACCACCATCCGACAATGACTCAGGACAGATGCAACAGAGGCAGGGCAGGGTTTGGCAATGGAGATAAAATATCAGTATTGTTTTGTGCCAGTTCACGAAGAAGTGACCATAGTGAAGAAAGGCACTCTGACTGCAGCTGCATTCAGGTATGGCTAAGTAAACAGCCACTTTCCTCCTTTTTTCCCCCTGCTTGTTGATTATTTTGCCTCAATGTGCATGCTATTTTGAAATGACCTAATGAATGCATCAGAATATTCATTATTTTTTTCTTATCCCCATAAAGATATATATACTTTTTTCTGATGCATGTAATTTGTCCCATTTCAATCAAGACAGCATGCTTGTCAAGGGTAATTACAACAAGCTCATGGACCAGAGCCTGAATCTGAGTATCAAGAAAAACAATACCTGGGCTTATCCCTGTACCATCATCACAACAATGGTCTATCTTTTCATGGAAATCCAAGTTATTGCTTATAATAGCCTACACCCCAAAAGATGGGGGGAGGAGCAGTACAATCTAGAAGATCCTTATCGGGAGCCACACTCCCCCCCATCCTACAGGCCCCACTGCCCCTAGGATCTACAGAAAGCGCCAAGCCCCCAAATCAGAATTCTTTCTCCACAGGTTTCTTTCGTTCCCCCTCCCCCAAATCAGCAAAAGCTATTTTCCTTCCAACAATATGCACCTACGTTTACCAGAAAGGACAGAGTTTCGTGCCAAATGGCAGCCCGCCTCCCCGCCCCCAATTTGAACTGCAAGCTTCGTAGCTTCCCAGCTCCCTCAAAGCCACAGGCGTTCCGAGAAGCTCCAACCGTGCTCACTCCAAGAGCCCAGCTTGAACTGGCAGAAGCGCGGAAGGCCCTTGTAGAAAATATCACTCGATCCGACCGTAAGCAGGTCTGGCAGCACTCGCCGGTGGAAAGGCAAAAAGGGGCGGGACCCCCATGGGGGGGAATCGGCAAAAAAGGGCCAGCCTTCCCTTCGCGAAGCGGGCAACAGCAGCAGCTCCCGCTTCTCGTCCCCTCGCGCGCACTTCATACAGACCTGCCCTGCCCTGCCCTGCCCTGCCCAGAATTCAGCACTGGAGCGGCGCTGGGAAAGCCACGTGCGCGGTAGCGCGAGCAAAGGCCGCAGCTTCGCGAGCTTCCTGCAGAGTAAGAGGAGGAGGAGGAGAAGAAACGGACACGCCCTCCCTCCTGCTGAACGGGACTTGTTGCTTTTGCCCGCCTATCAAATGGACCGGGCGGGGCAATAGCTTTCCGGACAAATGATGGGAACGCCGGCCCTTCGCGATCTTCTGTGGCCTAGAAAGCTGCGTGCCGTGCAAAAGTGCGACAGTTGGAGTGCTGTGTTGTCTTGTACTCGCTCTCTTTGGCTTAGAAATCCCGCACCGGTGGAATTTCTGCCTGCTAAATACGAAGTAGACCTCTCCTTCGCTGTTCTCGGACTTGGGTAGTATTGGATGGGAAGCCACCAGCTTCCCTGTAGTCGAAAAATATCCCGGAAAAAGCAATGGCGATCCATTTCTCCGTGGCTGGCTAAGAAAACCAGAAACTCTGTTCATGAAGATACTCTGGTTTAGGATGGAGCGCCATCCAAAGGCGACTTTACTTTTAGAGCTTTGCAAAGGGTGGGAGATGCAAGGTAATCTATGTAGAAAAGAAAACAGAACATTTCTAGCCAGTTTTTTTTTTTTTTTTTTAAAGCAACTTACTTTAAATGTTGGTTCTCTTTTTGCTATTTCCTGGCCAAGTTCTATTCTCTGCCTCATCCATATAGCCCCAGACTATGCAGAAAACTAAGAAGCTTGTCTCTTCTTAAAAGCTAAGAAATTCACTGTAGCTTAAGAGTTCACAAATTAAAATTAGCTTCATTCCACGGGTAACAGTCCTCCTAGTCAGGAGGGACTACTGGAAGAAAAAATGCAGAAATTAACATGAAACTGAAACCATTTATCACAAGTATTGAAAGTATTTCAATTGGTCGTAGTTTGATTTGCAAGATTAAAAATCTGGATATTTATTAGTTATTTTATTTAATCAATGTATAAGGCCACCCAACTCACAAATTGCAACTCTGGGCAGCTAACATAGGAGTTAAAACCAGAAACAAAGTCAGCACAAGAAAAACAACACAAAACATAAAGCCAGCCCACAATAAGTTCAATTTCAATCCAGGCTCATCCATCCTGGTCCAATGCCCAAGGGAAAAACAGGTTTTCTAGGCCTTATAGAAGGCCAACAGAATCAAGGTCATCTGAATCTGGGGGGATGTGCTGTTCCAGAGGGCTGGCACTGCAACAGAAAAGATAGACCTCCTGGGTCTTGGGAGATGACACTGTTTTATATTATGTCTTCCTATAGACTTGGTATACGCATTTAAAATAATGCTGATTAAAAAAACCCTCCAAATATTTAGTGAAATTCTTCCTGAAATACTACTGGGTTTTCATAACACTCTAGATTAAAATCTATCTGCTTAATTTGTGGTTTTGTGTGCTAGATGAATCCAACTAGTGTGGTTGGTTTATGATTTAGTGTTTTGTGCAAGTACAGGTAATTGAGCTAATTCCAGCAAATCATGGTTTATTTAACTGAGTTAGCATGTTGTGTATTCCTGCTGCCACAAATGCATGAACTTTTTTTAGCTGAAAAGAGATTATTAAAGTATTGTAATAAATTGTGGGTTTGGACAGAAGTTGGTACTGCTTGAAACTTCCTTAATAGTTATTGACAAAACTGCGAATCATATTTTGGTTGGAAATGCAGTTATTGGGTGCATTCACACACTGCACTAAGACAAAATGTGATTTCTTGGGTTTTAACAATGCAATGTATCAGCTAATTTAAAAACAAAAAGGAGTCAGATAGCAAACTTTAAGCTCCAGGGAGCATCTGTTGGAGACTTCCTCACTGAAGCACTCTTGTTGTTCAGTAGACTTTACTGTTGAAATATTTAAGCCATTTTTCATTTATATTTAGTTTGTATAGTAAATAAATTGAAATATTACAACATGTCATACATTTCTTCGTTCTAAGGAAATCGAAGTCAGATAAGCCCTGTGTTCCTTGAACTTCTTACCACTTGATTAAAGTGAAGTGAATACAACAATATATAGGTAGTCTTCACCTAATAACCATTAGGCGAGGACCAGAACTTCCATCGCTAAGTGATACAGTTGTTAGGCAAAACATCACGTGACCTCAACACTTAGCGACTGCAGTCCTGGCAGTCCCAGTTACTGTTGTTAAGTGAATTAGAACCAGACGTTACACCAGGCAACTTCCTGCCGGGTTCCCACAATCAAGTCAGTGGGGAAGCCAGCAAGTAATTGCAAGTTGCTGATGGGTAGGGGAGGAAGCGAGGGGGTGCATGGGAGGGTCAGTGGGGGTGTGGTGCAGGTTGGGTGCGCAAAGACCTCAAAATCACTTGAATATTTAGCCCCAGAGTGAAGCCTCTCCACTCTAGGGCTGAAAATCCTGCTTCAGCCAGCCCCCAAAGCTCTGTGTGCTAAACGCCCCATACGGGCGTTCAGCACTGTCATAAATTCGAGCGGTTGCTGAACAAATGGTCATTCGGTATATTCATCCTACATGTAATCTTTTCTAATGCAGGGAGCAAATGCTATTACTGTTTCTATATTTCTTACTATAAAGACTGTTTCCTTACTTACTAAATTTGTCAGGCCACCCATCTCTATAATACCTCTGGGCAGTGTAGAGTAAAATCGATCCTAAGATACAGTTAAAACCCAAACATCCTGAAGAAAAACAGCTATTCAGAAACAAGCGCACAAGTGGTGCCACTTACTCTAACCCAAGGCCTGGGGGAAAGGTCAAGTTTTCAAGGTTGTTTTAAACATGGCCAGGGTAGGGTCTAGATGTATCTCAGTAGGCTTGGTGTTTTAGAGGGCAGATGCTGTGATAGAGAAGGCACAGAGTGTGTTCTTTTTTTATTTTTTTTAAATAACTTTTTATTAAAAGTTTTAATATGGCTAAAAGACAAATACAGAAGTAGTTAAAGAAAAAGAGAAACAGTGCAGAAAAAAATACAGTTAAAGAAAAAAAGTTAAGCAACTTCTGCCCTTCTTTACAACAGTTACAAACTGATTATGCCTCCTCCCTTCTGAACATTACAATAATGTCTTCAGCCCCTCATTCAATCTTTTTTCAATCATCAAATCTAGAAATCACCATTTCACTTTTTTCCATTTTCAGCAAAAAGTCCATAAAAGGCTTCTAGTTTTTTATAAAAGTACTGATTGTTTTGTCCCTGACCAAGTCAGTTTTGCCACCTCTGCTAGTTCTGCCATGTTCACAATCCATTCCTCCGTTGTGGGTATTTCTTCATCTTTGTGCATATAATAAACTTGCTGTAGTTATATATAAAATCAGTCTTCCATAAGTCTTTTCTAATTTTCTATCCATAAGTCCCAATAAAAAGAGTTCTGGTTTCGTCTCAAAATTAATCTTCAAACTTCTTTGTATCATCATATGTATTTGTTTCCTTTTTGTTTGTTTGTTTGTTTTTTGGTTTTTCACAAGTCTACCATGCATGGTAAAATGTCCTTCATGTTTTTCACTTTTCTAACATTGACTACAAGCATCTTTATGCATCTTATATAAGTGTGTTCTTGTTTTAAAAGTGTCCTTTATTTTAATCTACTATTGGCATATAATTTTCATATTTTTAATGAAAAAATATTTCTACATTGAAAATCGAATTGCAAATTACATATTAATCAAAACTGCAACCTACAAACCAGTTTCTCTGAAGTTTCATTACAGTGAATGGAAGTACTCCAGTGTTTCTGGAGCCATCAAGAATAGAGAAATTATGATTTGAGCAAGTTAAGGGTGTTTTAAAATATGAATTATTAATGTGCTATAGCATCTTAAATAATAAATGTAGTATTACATGCTCTTTCACGGATTGAACTTTGCTTCATTAGATGCATAAGGATCCCCAACCAGCCTTGAAAGCAGGCCCAATCATGTTATTCCAAAAAGTGTTCTTGAAACAGAGCTTCACAATTATTCAAATGTATACAAGCAAAAGGCCTTCTGTAACGCCTGTAACATATGAGGTGTACATTATTTGTAACATCTAAACCATATAATCATCCTTTATATTTTTTCAGTTTAGCACAGATGGGTAAAACCTCCTTAAAGATTATGGTATAATCAAAAAGCTCAAGAATTTATCATGTAGTGTATAAATATAATGGGAGTGTATACACATCTGGGAACTGAATTAACCCATGCATGTACATGTAATGCTCCTGAAGCGTTAACAAGTGGGGGTAGTTTGGAATGGAAAATAGAAGAACAAATATTAAATAGTCCCTATTTCTCCATGTTTGTCATTTCCCCCCTTAAAATCTCCTCCTGCAGTTAATCAAAACACAAATAAATGCAACCCACATCCAGTTTGTGTGCAGTACCATGCTAATTTATCAGGGAATATGGCATTATCACTAGCATCATGTCTGATTTGGCTCACAGAATATTCCTTTCCTAAACACAGTCAGCCCATAATCTCCACAATCATAACAAATACTGAAAATCAAGATTTCTGAAATACATAATATAGCCCAAAAATGGGGTATGTGTGAGATCAGTTGCTGGGGAGAGGGCAAAGACATTGATTTTACAAGTGGCAGTTTCATCTAGACTTACTTATGGGACCAGGCAGATATGAAAATGGAGAGCTAGCTCTTGCAGACACATTGTTCATGTAGCTACTCTTGTCCCATAACTGTCATTGCTGTGTGTATCACAGAGGAAGTAGCATACTGCTTATTGTACAGATCAGCTGAATTCACCAATCATTATTTTAGTAGTAAAAGAATATACTGTAACTGAGCACTATTGGGTCTTCCTTCTTAAGATATTTGTATTTTTGTTTGTGTTTCTTTTAGTCAGAGTTGAATTGTCCATTTGTTGCTAGACTCTGTTGTCAGTCTGAATCATCTTTATATTGATTGTGGCTTGTGTATATTTAAACAATGTATATGCTAGTATGTGACACCACCTACC